GCTTAAAAGAAGAGTGGGGGGAGAGGAAGAGAGGAAAATTGTCTGCCATAGAGGCAGGCTGGAGAGGGGGGTGAAGGGACGGGTGTTGGGAGATTGTATAACTGAATTCCAGTCATGAATAACTTGTATCACAGTCATTCCACTAAAAACATCAGTAGTTCTGTAGCACTGTCACACTGTCGTAGCACTGTTGCCCCATTGTTCATCGATTTGCTCGAGTGGGCACCAGTAACATCTCCATTCATCCCTGTCTTGTGCTCGTGTAGCCCAATGTGTCTGCTCGCTCCAGGAACACGAAGTGAGACTTGTTGTTACTGTTTTTGGCATATCGAATACGCCACAGGTAGCTTGCCAGGCTCTGCCATGCGGGCGGGATACTCTCAGTAGCTTGCCGGGCTCTCCAAGAGGTATGGAGGAATCGAGCCTGGGTCAGCCTCGTGCAAGGCAAATGCCCTACCTGCTATGCTCCAGCTTATTGTTTTCCAAAAAGGCTGGATCAGACAGCATCACTCCAGCTCCAGCTTTTTTTTTTTTTTTAATGGAGCTGGAAAAAATAAGTACAATAAAAAAAAAAAGAATTAGAACTAACTGAACTTGACTCTTTAAAAAAATAAAAAGAATTAAAAAAGAAACCTTCCCCCCCCCCCCCCCCCCCATTGGTTTTGTTTTTAAATATGTCTCTCTGGGTTAGAGGCTGCTGCAGCTTTAGGGATCACTTCTGTGAATGCATCACAACCAGGGTTTGGGGGAAAACTCAGGGGTCCCTTTTCCTTTTATCAAGGAGAAAAATCTTTCCTGAAATCTCCCAAAACTTTTTTTAGATCTTATTGGCCAAAATCACCTTACATACCCACTCCAGACCATTACTACAAAGATCGAAAGTAGATTTTTTGCTTATCCAAGTAAAATTCTTCCCGAGGCTGCAGTTCTGATTCTTAATGCTTGGTGAATAGAAGCTGCCTTATTACCCTGCAGGGACTAAATGCTTTCTTCATTATCATACTGTTGGTGTCACAAATGTCATACCACTGGTGAGACACTGACCAGGAATAACTTTTTTTTAGGGAGATCCTGGCTGTGCTTTCAGGGATTGGTGCTTGGGGGACTATATGGGATGCTGGCGTTACAGCCTTGGTCAGTTGTGTATAAGGCAAATGCCCTACCTACTATACTATGTCTCCAGCCTCAGGGATAACTTATTTTCAGGATTGGCTTTACATTCCTGAGGAGGAAAGTGGAAAGTTTTGGAAACAGATGGCCAAGCAAAACTCAATGAACAACTGAGGCCAGTAGTTCTTCAGATGGAAAGGCCCCATAAACAGAGCTGCCTATAGTAGTGGAGAGCCCCAACAGGAAGGATGAAAAAAATTACAGCAGTTATCAGGCACTATCTTGGCTAACTTCCTCAGCAAGTGGTACTGCTCTTCAGCCTGTACAGGCCTCAGCATTAAGTACTCAATAAGCAGAATCTTATTTGTTGTTCATTTGAATTTTTCTTCCCCCTTTGCCTTCCCTTTTTGTTGTTGCGATGGTGATGACCCAGAATTGCACACATTTGGTCTTGACACTCACTCGGGGTCCCACACTATGGTTACAGTGCCAGTCCAGGTGCTTGCGGAGATCACACATTTCAGCTGTGGTGCTTGTGCACATTTGGTAGCAGTGTGCGCCAGGAGTGATATTCTTGGTGGTGGCACTTGTATACTTCCTAGCTGCAGATTCGCTGGTGTTTCCATCCTTAGTTGAAATGCTTACACTCACCTAGTTGTTTTGAACTGGATATTACTTATTCACTTGCTGTGGCACCAGGGACCACAAAAGCAGAGCCACTAGAATCATACTTAGGCATGGGGGTTGGGAATGATGCCAGGGATTGAACTGTGGCCAAGAGTGATCTACCACTGGGCTATTCCTGAGCCCAACAGAATCTTGTTCTAAAATTGAGGGGGGATATAGTACAGTGTGGGCACTCCCTTGCACAAGGCCAACCCAGGTTTGATCCCCAGCACCCCATAAGGTCCTCTGAGCCCGCCAGGAGTGATTCCTGAGCGCTGCCCTTCCCCCTCAAAAACATCAATGGCCTTGGGGCTGGAGTGATAGCACAGCAGGTAGGGCGTTTGCCTTGCACGCGGCCAACCCGGGTTTGATTCCCAGCATCCCATATGGTCCCCTGAGCACCGCCAGGGATAATTCCTGAGTGCAGAGCCAGGAGTGACCCCTGTGCATCGCTAGACGTGACCCAAAAAGAAAAAAAAACACATCAAGAGCCCAGAGGATTAGCTCAGTGACTTAGGACACCTGCCTTGCAGGTGTAAAATCACAGATTCAATCCCTGGTGCTGCTGTATGTGCCCAGGGCAGTTGTAGCTCTGGTGCCAGTTATTTCTAGCTACACTATATTCAGGTGTCACAACAAAGGAGCGTTGTCCCAGGAAGCACCACAGCTAAGATGTGTGGGCACCAAGGCCAGGAAGGGTAACCCTGTTGAGCCCTAGTGAGCACCACAACCAGAATGTGCATGAACACACTAAAGAGTATGGTGCTCAGCAAGCACATGTGCAAGCACCACAATTGGGCGGTGCAAGTAACCCAGACAAGCACAGCCAAATGTGTATCACCCAGGCATCATAGCCACAATGAATGGGAAGGAGGGGGAGTAAATAACAGGAAAACAAGAAAACAAGCTAGTTTAGAATCAGATCATGAATAAGGAGTAGACTAATAATGGCTATCTAAAGAACTGTGGCCCAGTGACAGTACTCAACCTAGTACAAATGGACATAGTACAGCCTTCCGAAGTTGAGGTGAAATGTAACAGCCAGATGAATAGGCTCTGTGGCAGCTATGTGTTGGGCCTGGGATCGGCCATGTGACCTGAGAGGAGATCAGCAAAGAGTACTCTTGAGGCGGAAAGAGGTGTTTTGTCTGATGTGGAGGGAAACGTGAGTCAGTGGGAAATGTTGGTCAGAACTGCAGGTACTGGGTTGTACGGCTGAGGCCTAAAGGGCTCTTTGGGCCTTGCCAAGAACATACATGCTTTAACCTGTTGCAAGGAAACTCGACACTTTTCATCGATAAGTCTTAAGATTAATATGTATCAAATTAACATTCTTCAGTTTTCTTCCCAGATTACAGAAAGATTTGATCTTATTGAGTCAATGTGTTACATTGAATATTTATTATGGGTCAGTTATTAATGGCAGAGTTACAGTCTTGCTGTGTTTTATATATGGACTAGTTTACAATGCCTAAAATGCATAATGTGATTCTACTGATCTAAAGTAAGATTCAGGTGACAGGGTAGAATGTGCCTAAGTGGTGTAGTACATACCTGGTCTATGAGGCCCTAAATTCAGTTCCCATGTACTGCATGACCCTCCTGCATTACCTGGTATAGTCCTGCTGTCCCCCAGCAACTACTGGACATGGCTCCTATTTAAAAAAACAACTTTTAAAATGAAGTAGGTAGCTTACCTATTTCCAAAAGTTTAAAAAATATCAAAATCAGTAGTTTAAGGGGTCAGAGAGAGAAGTCAGTGGGCTAGAGTGATGATTTGCATGCAGGAGGCTGGGTTTTGATCTCTAGTACCATAGTCTCTGCAGCACTGAGCCAAAAGTAACCACTGAGCCATCTCCAGGTGTCGTCCAAACTTATAAAAATAAAAAATTAAGTGATTTAAACAACACTAATACTTGTTTACTATATTTCCCAGTTTTTTTTTAAAAATCAACTTTTGCTAACGGGGACTATTAGACCTCTGCCAGAACTGTTATTCTTTAGTTTACAGAGGTACCTGAGGATGATCCTTCCCACACTCTGGTAAACCTTGTTATTTTGGAGAGACCAGAAGATTCTAGCTCAGTGCCACTAGCCTGACTTGAGAGTTTCAGTCTTACTCCTCAGGCTTTTAAGTGTCAGTTTACCAATGAGATGGCTTTAACAGACCTCTTCAAAACTACTTGGGGCTGTGGACAGTCCAGGGCTCAGAACACAAGCCTCACATGCATCTCACCCCCATCATGCCTGAGTGTAACCCTGGCGGCCCCCAACACAGCTGGGGGTAAGAAGCACAACATATGAAGATCTGAACATTTAACAGTAGGCTGAGAATTGCCAGGAGTGGCCGGGGGTCCCCTGAGCACTGCCCCTCCTCCCAAACTCCAAAATCCTATAATCCTAGCTCATTCTGGTCTTTCATTCTCTGCATTTTCTTCATTCTCTCTGTATTTCCTTCAAACATACCATATGATTCACTAACTTAACATCTCTTTCTCCCATACCCCGCAGTGCTCAGAACTGATTTCTGGCTCTGCTCAGGGATCACTCTTGAAAGGGCCTGGGGGACCATATGGGTGTGGAGGGATTGAATCTGGGTTGGTTGTGTGCTAGGCAAGCACCCTACCTACTGTACTTTTGCTTTAGCCCTATAACATTTCTCTATTAGTCTGCATCCTCCTTGAAAATGTACTTTCCTTAAAAGTAGAGCTTCTTTTTGTGTTCTGTTCACTGTTTTTCCTCAGACACTGAAATCAGTGCTTTATTTAAGTGGTTTTCAACCATTTCTGTACCTGTGGACTGGTAGTAGTCCAGACCAGCACCTGAAAAACATTGCCTTGTGTATTACCCAGGCTCAAAGGTCAGTAGCTTTGACATTAGCAAGCACCCTTTAGGTCTTTCTTTTCGGTAGTGGTTGAATCCAGGGCCTCAGACATGCTTATCAAGTGCTCTACCACTGAGCTACATCCTTGGCCCCTTTCACTGTTCTCAGGCTGATTTGCCACGACACAGGTGGATTTTACTAAGAATCAAAGCTTTCTAGTGTTTATTAGAGCAATATTGTTCAGACTTATTTGCATTTTTACTTTTGTGGGTAAGAGGTCATGGCGCCTTTATGGGGGAAACTTTAGGGCTTATTAGGGACCAAAGGCCATGGAAAAAAACTAGGTGTGGTTTTGGACTTTACTTGCAGAGATGATAACAGATAATGTTCTTTTGAACAGGTATAAGAGTCTGGTCACTGGGACCCGAGCAAGAAGAGTCATTGCTCTCCTCTGGGTCCTGGCCTTTGGCATTGGACTGACTCCATTCCTGGGGTGGAACAAGAAGGACAATACCAAAAACTGCACACAGCCTCTGGGTGGAACCACCAATGAAAGCTGCTGCCTTGTGACGTGTCTTTTTGAAAATGTGGTCTCGATGAGCTATATGGTGTATTTCAATTTCTTCGGATGTGTCCTGCCCCCACTTCTCATCATGCTGGTGATCTATATCAAGATCTTCACAGTAGCCTGCAGGCAGCTTCAGCGCACTGAGCTGATGGACCACTCAAGGACCATCCTCCAGAGGGAGATCCATGCAGCCAAATCTCTGGCCATGATTGTCGGAATTTTTGCCCTATGCTGGCTACCAGTACATGCCATCAACTGTATTACTCATTTTCAGCCAGCTCAGGCTCCTGCTAAACCCAAATGGGCAATGAACATGGCCATTCTTCTGTCACATGCGAACTCTGTTGTCAATCCCATTGTCTATGCCTACCGGAACCAAGACTTTCGCTATACTTTTCACAAACTCATTTCCAGGTATGTTCTCTGCCAAACAGATGTCCTCAAAAGTGGAACTGGGCAAGCCAGCACGCAGCCTTCTCTAAGTGTGGGTCTATGACACAGGCTCTGGCCTTTTCAAGGAGAAGGCACAAATTTACCATAGACAAAAGGACAGAACATGACTGGTGGATTCTCATTGTGAAAGAGAGTTCCACCTCACAAAGCTGCCTTTTGAGCACCACCCTGGACTTACCACTATCTCGTTAATATGTACATGTTATTAGTAGGCTTCAAGGGTTGGCAAATGTATTTATGGTTTATTTGGCTGCTCTTACTATGTGGAACATATTGATGGCTTGAAAAGATTGTATAAGACTCGTTTTTTAAAAGCCTCTTACATGATAAAAAATGATAAACTATTTTACTGTGAAACATTGTGAATTATCATACAAATATTTTTTAACTTAGAGGCAATAGGAAAATAAATGTTGGACGTAAAAATGCATGCTTGTTCATCAGGTGACCAGGAAGATTGTAAGTATAATTCATCAATCATCTGCTCTTTCAGTTTAGGGAAATGAACTCTTTTACATATTCTTATGTTCTTCTAAAGTAAAATAGTATCAGATAATAATTTCTGTAACATTCTTTCCATATACAGAAAGCTATCCTAGAAGAAGAAATTAGAGAAATGGGATTCCTTCTTTATCAGATTCCCTTTTCCCTGTCTAGAGCTTGTGAATTTTACTTCCCTTCTAAGTTCAAGTTTGGCCAAGTTAAGTCCAATTTTAGTGAAAATTTGATTAGATAAAAATGTATAACTGTATGTATATTAGGTAACATTAAAATAATGCTTTAAAAAAAGTTAGAGTGCTACTAGTGGTACCTTCTATATTTTGTCACAAAGGATGCTTAAAAAAGTAAGTTTACACCCAATCCAAATTTTCTAGGTAGTAGAAGTATTTTAATAGATCTTGTCACTCTTGATATAAAAAAAAGGCTCTGCCAACCACAGAACAGTGCAGCATCCTGAAATTTTATACCAAATCTAGTACCTCAGGTTTCAAAGCATGGGGCTGGGGTTATCCTAAGTTATAAAATTGTATGTTCACTGAATTACTACTTCAATTTCGTTTGCAATCTCCTAGCAAGAACCCTGCAAGTTTATGAGTTCCTATGGACAGGGAATTCCTGTCCTTCTAGGGTCCTATTCTGGCTCTGGACCACTTTAATTGTTAAGTTCTTGTGCTGTGTTGTCTCATTTTTTCATTTGTCATTGCTCCTTTGCTTCCTGAGGCCTAACTGAGCCCCATCTCTCTCCCTTCTAACACTCATCTCTTTTGCCGTTTCTTGCTCAGACTGAAAAATCCTACTGGCATCTTCAGTTTCTTTCCAGGACCAAATTTTTAGTTCCTTTCTTCACTGGACCTGTTAAAAAGCTCAAAAATACATGCAGAACAACACTAGCACTTCCCTTGTATTTTTCATGATACCACTATTCTAAAAATAAGGCATATGAGCTATTTTAACGGCAACAACTGCTGATATCTGAAGCTTACTGAAACCACAATTCCTAAGTTTTCTTCATACTTGCTTCTACTAGCCACATCTTTGTTCTGATCTTTTACTACTACAGAAGTTTTTTTGCACCCAAAGAAAAGAACTAACGCTAAAGAACTAACTAACTTAGATAAGTAACACTCATCTAAACTTGATCTTAGTTTCATCTACCATTCCAATTAAAATTTTTTTTAATCATTTAATCTATTTGGAGTTAAGAGAGATCTAACAGGGGTTAAAGTGCTTTCCTTGCATGTGGCTTACTTGGTTTGATTCCCTGCATCATATGGTCTTCCGGCAATGATGGGACCAACACCCAAGCCCAAATCAGGAACTAGCTCCTTAGCACTGCTCAGTGTGGCCCAAACACCACCCCTCATGCCCCCTGAAAAGAATCTAGGGGCTGGGACAATAGCTCAAAGGGCTAGGGTGCATGAACACCCAGAACAGTCCTAGTCCGTGAGCAACAAGAAGTGTAGTCATGGTGGTCCCCCCAAGTACTGCCATATGTGGCTCTGATGGTTCCCCAAGGCCTCTGGGCCAAGAAGTACCACATAACCAGGCCCAAGACTGAGGTTTCTACCCCATAAAGCTCAGCCTAGGAAAAAATGTCACTAGTTGCAGATAAGATATGATATTAAGCTTTCAGTCTAAAAATTCTTTTAAAAATGTTTTTGACTTGGGGCCATACTCTGTAGTTCAAGGCTTATTCCTGGCTCTGTGCTCAGGAATAACTCTTGGTGGGGCTTAGGGAACATATGTGGTGCTGGTGACGGAAGTTAGGTAAGCCATGTGCAAGGCAAGCACCTTTCCCACTGTATGATCTCTCTGACCCCATGGCTTAGAGTCTAAAGTACTGGATTCCATAAAAGAAATTTTTCACTCAAAGGATATAGGGGCTGATTCATTTATTTCAAGCGAAGACTTGTATAGAGCAACAGAGCATACAAAACACTGGCTCTAGCTTATAGTACCTTCTGCAGTCAAGAGGGAAAAGTGACAGTTATCAAAAAGTCTCTCAAAGATCTGTTTCACTCTCTTCCTAGTGAACCAGGACAGATTACATTTCTTGATGGGATTTCTATTTTGAAAGCTAATGATGATCAGTTTCAACTTTTATGAATCTTGTTTCTTCTCCATTAATATCTCAGTCAGTTGCTTGTCAGAGACACTTAGTTGCTGACAAGTCTTCACAACCTGACTAAGATAAATTGCCAGGAGATGTTTGCACTAGAATAGAAAACATACAGATTTATTAGCTACAGCAGAGGCAACATAGTGACAACCTGTCACTACGATTACATTTAGCTGGAAAAGAGTGGAGCTCACTTGCTGCCTAACACCTGCAGATAAAGAAGATAAGACAGCAGTAATCCTAAAAATAAGCTGGGACAAAGGAAGTTTTACTTCACTTGTTTTGGGAAGCAGTTTAGATCTAGATGATTCATAAAAAATAAGACAGGCGCCTCCCCTTAGTCCTAAATTATTTTCTTCTTTAGAGTCCTAAACTGCTAATAGCAAAATTTCCCAGTGTCAACTTTTTTCTTCCTTTTTTCTTCAGCCGTGCTTGGAGAATCCTGGGATGCTGGGGAGTGTACCTGAAGTCCTCCATGCAAAGCATGGACTCTAGCTCTTGCCATTTCCCTAGCTCACCCAGTGTCAATGTTTGCAGTTACCTTGTTGCTCTTCCCAGAGCTTCATCTTGTCCTTTTATATAAAAACTGGTGAGCTAATGATGTAGTTTCATGATAAAGCACATGCCCATGTGAGACCCTGGACCGAGTCAGAGTTCCGGCACCATAAAAAAAAATGTCGGGAAATTGAAGTTGTTCTAAAAATGACACTGTATTTTTTTTTGGGGGGGGGTCTAACTAAAATATGACTAACTTAAATCAGGGATAAAAACTTTTCAACATAAAATCCCCACAGTAATAAATTTCCCATAATAACGTTCCCACATCATACAACTCATACTGCACAGAAGGGGCCAATAATATCCAAATTTAACAGCTTTGAAAGCCTTCCTTCTCCTCACCAGTAGGCTGTCACTCTTCCGTAGTACTGAGAAAGCAAATGCAGGACATGAACAGTAATGACAAGAAGTCAAACATGTATATGTTGTACCAGAACTTCCAAGTACCTAGAAAGGGAAAAAACATTTGGGATCAGACTTCACTTCAGAAGTAAAAAACAGCTTCTTCACCTCTGCCTGGCTGGTAAGACCAGCAGTTCTGCACTTGTGCAGCAAGAACTGCCTCAGGCTTTACACAAAAGGAGAAGTGCAGCTTTTCCTCCTGGGTGCTCTGCACAGGACTTCCTACAATGAAAAAGAAGTATCAGCCTACAGAAAATCATCCACTTGTTCCTATCCCCATAGACTGAGCATAAGGAGGTAGTGGGAGAGCTTGTTATTTATCATTTATTAATTTTTTCTTTGATATTTTGGTTTTGGGGTCACAGGTGGTGGTGCTAATGGGTTGGTCCCACCTTGGGGTTTTGCCAAGTCCCCTGGCCTGTATGAACACTAGCCCTTTGAGCTCTTTCCCTCGCCCTATCTATACTTTACTGGTTTTTTTTTTCAACCTTGAATATTTCACAGCATGTAAGTTTCTAAAGCTTCACCATGCCCAAATAGAGTATGAAAGTAGATAAAGGGTAAGCCTTTATCTGATAGAGGAGGAGACTTAAGGGGGTGGGGAGTAGCAGAAAGAGAGGCCTTCAGAAGAAAATGAGAAAAGACATTTGAAAATCCCTGAGTGATGAGAGTAAACAGCAAAGAATCTTGCAAAAGGGATGACTCAGCCACTCAGGATGGCAGTCTCAGAAAGAGGCAGGCCTGGATCTGCCTATTCATCTAGCAGGATGGAAGGGGGCACAGATAAGGGGAAGGACCCAGCCCAAGAACTGTCTTGTTGGAAGTCAGGACAGAAAGGAGGCATACAGGAAAATTACAGTGCATTTGAGCACGATTAGACAAACAGTGGAGAAATCACTTGTCAAATCTAACCAAGCAGTGAAATAAAGCAATGTGGAAGGCTTAATTTCCAGAATAATTTTGTCCTTTCATTCTTGTTTTGTTTTGTTTTTGGGCCACAACTGACAATGTTGAGGGGCTACTCCTGGCTCTATGCTCAGGGATCACTACTGGTAGTGGTTGGGGAACCATCCCGGGGATCAAACCCAGGTCAGCTGCATGCAAGACAAACAACTTCCCTGCTGTACTATCTCTCCACCGCCCAGAATCAATTCCTAATGAATAAGTATATGAATAGTATCCAATGAATGATTAGTATCCAAGGGAAGCAGAAATAGCCCCCAGGATGCTTTTTTTTTTAAATGAAGTTAGGAATTTACCTCAGGATTTTCAAATTACTTATAGGCTCTAAGACATTCAAGTAAATTTTTCCCACTTAATCCTGGAAGAAAAACATTGAGCAGTGACACAAAGACTCCCTGGGTCTCCAAACTTAAGAATGAACAAATCTCTAGATTCAAATTTAAACAGGCATAATCTACAGTTCTGACTTGAGTGGCCTAGTGGCTTGTATCTCCAGTCTCTGAGAATACTCTCTGGACTATACTGAATAAATGTCTGGTGACAGGAAGAAATTCTACAGAATTTCTTTCGGAATGCCCTACAACAGGTAGGATGTTTCCCTTGCACATGACTGACCTGGGTTTGATCCCTGGCATTCCATTTGGTCCTTTCATTCCATCAAGAGTAATCCCCAGGCTTAGAACCAGGAGTAAACCCTGAATACTACTGAGTGTGGTCCAAAACCAACCTCCTTCCTTTCCTCCAAAAAATGTTCTCTTGCTCGATCCTTTCAAAGGTTGGCTAAGAATAAAACCTAAAATGAGCCTGGGGCAGTAAATACTCTAAAGAGAGTAAAATTTGAATTTGCTTTTACATTTCCAGCAGTGAACAGCTAATGAACCCAATAATCATGCAAAAAAATCTAAGTTAAAAATTTTTAGAACTGGAAATTGACCTAAGGGATCATCTAATTCATTTCCTTCACCCTTCAATCAAAAAATGACCTCTTCTTACAGGAATTGCTCCTAGTTCTCCCAGTCTCTGGAATGTTTATCCCCTGGAGAGCTTTTTAAAAAGAAACATGCAAGAAAAAGACTGAGACCCATGACTAGACTTATGTGAACATCGTTTGGAGGAAGCTATTCTGGACTAGGTTAGGCTGAGGGGTAACTCACCTAAATGGTTATCATGCAGTCATTTTATGACCCTCTAAGCCTCCTGGGTACACTACAGTACTTTCCCATATTTATTGTTCAGTGCCTTTCTCTGGAAGAGAATTATAGATAAGCTTTTTCTAGCTCTGTTTAATTCACGGTACAAGCTGACAGTCAAAATTCTAGGAAATTAACTTTTAAAATTTCTTCCCTATTAAAATATGGCTGTCTCTGTGACCTGCTTAACCAGTAAAATATTAGTCAAATATAAGTATTATAACAATGGTGTGTGGTGCCAGAGAAATAGGACAGGGTTTAAGGTGCATGCCTTGTATGTAGGTCTCCCCATTTGATCCCCGAAGTTCTCTGGCCCCAGTGGACAAGAAATGCTGGGAGGGACTTTTATGCTTCCTGAGTACGGCTTGGGAGCCCCTACCCCTCCACACAAAAAATTTGGAGTGTATCATGTTTTCTTTTTTTGTCTGCTTTCCACAAAGTCCCAAGTGAGATCTCAAAGTGAACATGTTTTGGAGCACAGCTGGAACTAACTCTTAATGGATATGTAATATGAATAATTTATAAAACTTTCTATACTTTTGAAATTTAGGGTTATCGCTTCCCTGTCTCTACTGATTCACCCTTCCTTCCTCCCCCTCATTCCACATCTCTTTTCTATTCTTCCTTGTGCTAGGGCTTGGATCAAGGACCTAACACATGCAAAGCAAGAGCTTTAAGCGCTGAGCTGTATTCCTGGCCCTCATAGCCTGCTTTCTTTATTAAAAAACTTATTTTAGGGGGGCTAAAACCAGCATTTCTAGAGGATACCCCTAGCATTGTACCCTGGAAATTCTGGTAATGCTTTAGAGTCACTCCTTGGTGGTACTCAGGGATCCCTCCCCAGTATACTTGGAGGAACATGGGGAGAACAAAGGTTCAACCTGGGGTTTCCTCATGCAAAGTATGCACTTTAGCCATCTTCCTGCCCTACACCATATGGGATATCTTTCTTATGTGAACAAAAAAAGTTAGAGATTAAAAAAAAATTTAAAAAAAATTCCAGATAACATAGGGTGACTGGAGTGATAGCACAGTGTGTAGGAAGTTTGCCTTGCAAGCGACAACATGGCCAGCTCAAGTTCGATTCCTCCACCCTTCTCAGGGAGCCCGGCAAGTTACTGAGAGTATCTCGCCCACAGGGCAAACCCTGGCAAGCTACCTGTGATGTATTCAATATGCCAAACACAGTAACAATTGTCACAATGGAGATGTTACTGGGTCCGCTTGAGCAAACTGATGAACAATGGGAGGACAGTGACAGTGACAGTGGCTTTAGGATAATTTTTACTCTTGAGAACAATATGAATATTAGAAGGTTGACCAAGATAACCAGATAGTCATCAAGGTTGTTTCTTATATAAGACTATAAAACGCTGATATTAAGGTTAACTTGGAGGCAGTAGATAAACTTTCTACAGTTTCATTTAATTCACAGTACAAGATAGTCAAAATTCTAGGAAATTAACCTTTTTTTTTTAAGTAAAACATTTTATTTGGAGGGCTTTTGAAGGGAAGGAGAGAGAGAAAGTGGGAGAGAGTGGAGAGTAAGAGAGACTGAGTAATGCACTGGAGAGAACGCGGACTTCTCCAAGGGTGGAGAGGTCCTCTATACACTCCCAGCATTAGATAGGAAAGCATGAAAGTACACGTCTCAAGAGGGAAGATGAGGGCGATACATGTGCTCAGGCACTGTGTGTGCTTTGCCATGGCAGGTGCAGGCAGCACAAGGGTTTGGGCGGCATATGCGCAAAATTAACTTTTTTTTAAATGATAAAGAGCAGTGGTTTTTAACCACTGCAAGTGTGAAATGGTTGAAAACCCCTGGAAAAGAGTAGATTGGAATGATTTAAATTAAATCACAGTGATCCTGGGGAGCACCAAAATATTTCAAACAAAAATTTGAACATTCTAACTACTAACTAGATCCCAGAACTAGAGGACAGTGAGAAGTCAGCCTGCGAGGTCAAGTGTTCTGCTGATACTGGAACAGAGACAAAAAGACTGAAACCAGAAGACATGGGAAAACTCAAGCCCTTCTCTTGTATGGTATTTTAACTACACAAAACCTAAAAATAAAAGCACTAGAAAAGGAAACAGTAATTACCTCGTCAGGTACAAAATATCCCTTAAGAGTTCTGGTTATTGTTATTAAAAAAAGAGAGGGACAGAGCTTATAGGAAAGCCAGGTATGAGCCGGCTCTGACGGGGCAACTGCAGTCTCATGGGAAGGGGGGCGGTACTGGCTTGTCCTAAACGCCTTACCGAGGTTAAGAGTTGTCCCCCACGAGCAGCTCTCTGGCACAGCCATAACACCAGACGCACAGAAACCAATCTCGTAATTATCTGGCTCTTTGCAGAAATCCAAAATCGCGAGGCAGCTATTGTGGCCACATGAGATTATATGATTCTTATAACCAGCTATAGAAAACAAAGTATTTCACAATGCCTTTTCAGCAATTGATTGTTGGGGGGAAATTCTAAACAACAATGGTGCATCTTTTGTCAAAACAATGAATGTAATCAATGTAGAGAAGAGTTAAGTGGAAATCACCTGCTGCACAGGCATTGGGAGGGGTGGGAGGGGGGTATATTGTGGTTCTTGGTGGTGAAAAATGAGTACTGGTGAAGGGAGAGGTGTTTGATCATTGTATGACCGAGACTTAAACCTGAAAGCTTAGTAGCTTCCCACAGGGATTCAATAAATAAATCACTGTCACTCTCCTCCCATTGTTCATCGATTTGCTTGAGCGGGCCCAGTAACATTGTGAGACTTGTCACTGTGTTTGGCATATTGAATACGTCATGGGTAGCTTGCCAGGCTTTGCCGTGCGGGCGAGATACTCTCGGTAGCTTGCCGGGCTCTCCGAGAGGGGAGGAGGAATCGAACTCGGGTCAGCCATGTTGGCCATGTGCAAGGCAAACACCCTACCCGCTGTGCTATCGCTCCAACCCCAATAAATAAATATAAGAAGAAAAAAATAAATAAAATTATGGGGAAAAAATGGTGGAGTTCATGCCCAATTCAATCAGCTAATCAGTGTCTGAATAAATAGCAGTCCTCCTACATTAAAGAGAGAGAGAGAGAGAGAGAGAGAGAGAGAGAGAGAGAGAGAGTTCTGCCTATTGGGGCTGGAGCGATAATACAGCGAGTAAGGCCTTGCACAGAGGTTGAATCTGGGTTCGATCTCCAGCATACACATGGTACCCTTATCACTGACAGAATTGACCCCTGAGTGCAGAGTTAGAAGTAAACTCTGGGCACTACCAGGTGTGGCCCCCCCAAAAAATTTGTAAGTTCACCATGAGAAAACTGTCAGAGACAATGTCTTTTCAGTAAATACATCCAAAGGTTTTAACTGTAACACTCAACATTTACTACCCTGATTTCCTTGAAAGAATAAACTTTTTTTAAAAAAGGTTTTGGGGCCACTACAGTGGTGCTCAAGGCTTACTCCTGGCTCTGTGCTCAGGGATCATACCTGGCAGTGCTAAGGGCACCATGTGTGGTGCTGGAGGACCTTATGGGATGCCTGGGATTGAACTGAATTGGCTATGTGCAAGAAAAGTGCCTTACCCATTGTACTGTCTCATGAGCTCCAGAAATGCATGAAGATATTATGAGGTTATTCTCATGATGCTAGCTACATAGTGTAATTGGCAGACTAATTCACTAAGCAGAAGCTTACACTGGGGATGGGGGCTGGAATCTGACCATTGTTTTTAGAGACACTTACTGTCTCTAAAATCCTAGATGTTAGATGTGACAACTTAACTTTTCTGCATTTTCATTTCCTGTGAAATAAACACCTTGCTGGGTTTAGGTAAGATATATCAGTAACATGTGAAAGTGATTCAGAATCTGATTAAGAGGCTATTCATTTACAAATCTGCTTGAGGTTTGCAGAGCAACACTAAGGCCCAAATAGACTGAACTTAGCACAGTTGATTCTTTTTGACAAGTTTGTTTTGTTTTGTTTTGTTTTGGGGATACATCCTGTGATGCTAAGGGGTTGTTCCTGACCCCGAACTCAGGGATCACTCCTGGCAGAGCTTGAGAGACCATATGGGATGCCATGAATTGAACTGGGTCGGCCATGTGCATGCAAGGCAAGCACTCTACCATTCTATCTGTCTGGACCCTTGGCAACAGTTTTGAGGGATCATTTTTAATTGATAAATCTAAGCATATTGAAGGACATCAAAATGCATTATGTCTTTTGCTTGTAAGCAAGAAATAATGTACAAGATGAAGTACTTCTATTATCAACTCATGAAAAAGGAAATGCTGACTATATTCTACATCCTTGCTGTTTCCACATAACATACTAAGAAATAGGTTACAGTTATATTATTGTAATTACAAATAGATTAATTTTAATGTTAGGTCAAATGCACTTCAGCTGTCTAGGTGGAAATGCTTAAAGCTGGATTATCACTTACCATAGATTCATGAAAACATTTTGTCCTAATAGGTTTTGGTTGGTGATCCCCATTTCTAGACTGTTTTTTTTTCTTGTTATTACAATTTAGGTAAAGTTTATCCACCTTTCGATTTCTACCTGGTAAACACGCCTCCCACTGGGTGATGAGATTAAGGTGATGGATTGTCGATCAACTAGGTCCAAGGCCTGGATGGCTGATGAACCAAAGATAAACTTCAATCTGGGAAACAGAAAGGCTTTTGATTAGCACACCTAATTCTCAAAATCACCTCGATAACTTGATTCAACTCAGCATTAAAATTTAAAATAAATTCAGTTCATTTTAATTTTGAAGACAGAATGTAGCAAAAATCCAGATTAAAAAACCCCTACATACATACTAATATGTCATTTACAAAGACACTCTCTGCTGTTTAGTGCTTCCTATTCTTGCCACATTCAACTCATTCTCTACACATGTGATGATTTTCTTCCTGCAGTGTTCTTATATTTTATTACATATAGTATGTTTATTACACATATGTATATAGATGCATATATGTATACAGTATTGCTTTTAAGCCTGATAAAGTAAAAAGAAGTATATTACAGGCTTTGGAAAAACTTTGCATTTAACGTGTTTTTGAAAATGATGTAAGTTGACATGTATTTTTAATTTCTGCAAACGATTTCACTGTATGTTCACAGTACATCTTATTCAGTACCCTACTGATAGGCATTATAAATTTTCCACCTAACATTATTAAAATAATACTCAATTATATCCCTTAGTGAACATATATAAGACACTCCATGGTTATATAACTAAAAACAGAATTGCTAGGTTTTAGGATACATGCATTTTTCTATTTTATCAGGCATTGCCAATAACTTTCAATGTGGAAATAACATCCCAACCAGCCCTGTGAGACTTCCATTTTTCTAGACATTTTTCTTTTTGGGTCACACCCGGTGATGCACAGGGGTTACTCCTCGCTTTGCACTCAGGAATTACTCCTGGTGATGCTTGGGGGACCATATGGGATGCTGGGAATCGAACCCAGGTCCACTGCGTGCAAGGCAAATGCCCTACCTGCTGTACTATTTCTCCAGCCCCCCCAGACTTTTTTTTTAGCTGGTATTGTTAGACTTTTTCATGCTTAGCCATATGATCAGAGCTGGAGCGATAGCACAGTGGGTAGAGCATCTGCCTTGCACATGGCCGACCCGGGTTCGATTCCTCTGTCCCTCTCAGAGAGCTCAGCAAGCTACCGAGAGTATCCCGCCAGCAGGGCAAAGCCTGGCAAGCTCCCCACTGTGTTTTCGATATGCCAAAAACAGTAACTACAAGTCTCACAATGGAGATGTTACTGGTGCCTGCTCGAGCAAATCGATGAACAGGAGGACAGTGCTACAGTGCTATATGATGGTTATTAAATTTTTTTATGGATTAGTAATTAAAGGCTATTCAGCTGTAAAATGGTATTTTAGTAAAAAATATGTGGTACAGTTTGTTGGGTAAGGAGGGTTGAATACAAAGTTATATTTAGAAAGCACTGTAGCAATGTCCACTGTAGCACTGTTCTCCCAGTTGTTCATCGATTTGCTATTTAGAAACGGAGAGATAGCACAGCGGTAGGGCATTTGCCTTGCACGCAGACAACATGGCCTACCCGAGTTTGATTCCTCCACCCCTCTCGGAGAGCCCGGCAAGCCACTGAGAGTATCTCACCCGCATGGCAGAGCCTGGCAAGCTCCCCGTGACGTATTCGATATGCCAGACACAGTAACAACAAAGTCTCCAATGGAGATGTTACTGGGCCTGCTCGAGCAAATCGATGATCAACGGGAGGGCCTTTACCTTTACCTTTTAGAATTTATAAACATATTTAGAAATTTGCTATTTAGAAACATATTTAGAAAAGTATGTTACAATATTTTTCTTGGGGACCAGAGTGATAGTACAGCAGGGAGGGCATTTGCCTTGCATGCTGGGTTTGATCCTCAGCATCCCATATGGTCCCCCAGCACTGCCAAGAGTAATTCCTGAGTGCGGAGCCAGGAGAGACCCCTAAGCATTACTGGGTGTGACCACCCCCACCAAAAAAAAAAATTTTTTTTTTCTTGGTTGAGGGATATGGCACAGCACCGCCTCACATTACCCAATGCTCCCTGTCACACACATGTATGTGATCTTTAGTGTAACACAACCAAGTGTGTGGGAACAATACAACCTGCTCTCTCTGGTAAATACCACAACTGAAGTGTGCAAGCACCAGAACCAAATGTGTGACTCAAGAATGTAAGCCGCAGTGCACACCACAGTCACTGTGTGACCCTCAAAAGGAAGGGAAGAGGAAACTGTATTTTTAAAAGATTGTTTTGTTTGTTTACTCTGTTTTTGGGCAATACCCAGCAGAGCTCAGGGCTTACCCCGGCTTTGTGCTCAGGGAAATACTATTTTTTTTAAAAGGTAGTAAATTAAAACACTCAGGTTCTGGATGAAGGAATTCTGATTAATCCAAGTCCCTATATTTTTGAAGTTGGGTTTGGTTAAACCATGCCAGTGCCAGAGAGACAGTACTATGAATAGTGCACTTTGCTTTGAATGCAGTAGACCCAGGTTTGATCCCGTGAGCCTTCAAGGCAAGGAGTGCTGTGTGGTTCCCAAACCAAACTAAATTCACCCTGTTGGCAGAAAACAGGGAGGCTGGAGTTTCTGTGGCTGCCTCACAAAGGAGTTGGGTGCCTCCCAGCTCTAAAGCAGACTGATGGGTGGGAGGCAAAGTTCTGGAGATATACAACCCCTCCCCCCCTTTTTTGGTCAGACCAGTTGTGCTTAGGGACTGCCCCCAGCTCTATGCTCCAGAGTCATTCCTAGTGGTGCTAGGTGTGGACGTGGGAGAGGACCATGCAGTGCTCCAGATCAAACCTGGGCTGTCAGGGGTCAGAGTGGTAGCACAGTGGGTAGGGCGTTAGCCTTGCATGTGGCCAAACCTGGTTCGATCCCCAGTATCCCACCTGGCATCTCCAACCATCATACATATGGTCCCTGAAGCATTTCCAGGAATAATTCCAGAGTACAGAGACAGGAGTAACCCCTCAGCATCACCAGGTGTGACCCCCAAGGCAAAAAAACACACAAAAAACATAAAATCTGGGCTGCCATGCCCCACTCTATACACACACACACACACACACACACACACGCAGTGTGTTCAGTGTGTTGAGCTTTCTACCTGGATCCGAGTGGAATCCTAAGGAGGGATGGAGCCACTCGTGGTGACTAATCTGTGAATACTGTCAATTCGGCAGATTAGCATAGCAGGTCATGGGCCCATCAATGAGGACTAAAGTGCCATAGTGTCCTGGGCTACAAAGGACTGCAGCTATGTGTCCTGAAGCAAGGAAGGGAAGTATCAGGACCCCAAGATGCATAAGTATAGGCAGGCAGGTGTCTGGGTAGGAAACATCAGTCACTGAGCTGAGACAGAGGACAGGTCTGATCACCAGAGGTGGAAACAACAAGGGATTTCATGCCCAGGCTGGTTCTTCCTATCCAGTGTGTTCAAGAGAAGCAACCCCCACCCCCCCAAGATGGATTCCCTCATCTGACACACACCCAAGATCCTGAAAAACCAAACATCTTCAAGTCAAGAGCCACAGTGCCTTCTACAGAGAAAATAAGAAAATGCAAAGAATTAAAAAAAAAAAGTTAGAGCTGGTGACAGAATTAATGAAATTACTCGTAAGTTAATATTAATGATACAGAAATGGAGAATCCAAAATGATTTTTAAATGTATACTCTGAAGAAAATCAGTAAAAAATGTTCAATCCAAACACAAAATAAAACACTACTGAAATAGAAAAGGAAATGCAGGGGCAGATGTATTTTGCCAAATGGAACAAAGCCATCAAAAATTCCAAATAGACTGAAGAGATAGTATAGTGGCAGGGTGCTTGTCTTGCACGTGGCTGATCCAGGTTCAATCCCTAGCACCACATACGGTCCCCCAAGTCCTTCCAGGAACGATCCCTGAGCAGAAAGCCAGAAGTAGGCCCTGCTGGGATAAGCACAGGAGTTACCCCAGCACTGCTGGGTGTGGTTCAAACACAAAACAGAACAAAAAAATCAAACAGGGCCAGGTCCAAAGGGCCGGAACATATGCTTCTGTAGGAGTCCTAGATTCAATCCCCAGCACTGCTTGGTTCTCTGAGTACCCCCAAACAAGTCAAAACTATTCCAAATGGAAATGTGCTGGATGTGAAAAATGAAATTAAAGCCACATAGAGCACAACAATATCAATATCACAGAGGAAGAAATAAATTAAACTGAAGATAACACTAATAACTTGAACAGAAGAGAAATAGAATATTTAGAAAAAATGAAGAAAACTTTCATCATAAAAGGGCACATAAACATAACAGGATGGGGTAGAACAGGGGTCAAGGCCCTAGTCTTCCATGTTTCTGATCCCAGTTCAATAGCTGGCACCTCATCTGGTCACCACTGAATACCACCAGAAGTGATCCGTGAGCAAAGATAGAAATAAGGTCTGAGCACCATCAGGTGTGGCCCAAAACAATAACTACCACCACCATCAGCAACAAAAGATAATAGGAATATCAGAAAGTGAAGAGAGAAGGGAACAAATTGTCTAGTCAAAGAAGTTATAGCTGGGAACTTCACAAACCTTAGGAAAATGCTAACCTAGAAGTCAAGAAAAGAAAAAAAAAATAAGAAAAAAGAAGACCAGAAAGCTAACAGAAGACCCATATTCCTAATTGAACAGACATATCACTGATCAACACGTATCACTGTTAAATTATTAAAAATCAGTGATAAAGAAAATATGTTAAAGGTAAAAATATAACATACAACTGTACATACTAGATAAGATGAAAGGATGTGTATGTGTGTATGTGTGTGTTAGAATGAGCAACTGGGGGGGGGGTGGGAAAAGAGGATATTCAAATTTTAAAAGAGAACACTGCTAGCTGAGAACACTCTACTCTACTAAAATATTATTTAAATAAAATGGAGAAATAAAGGCCTGTCAGGATAAACAAAACTAATGAAATTTACTATCACCAGTCCTGTACTATAAGAAAAGTTGAAAGAAGTACTTTTATAGAAAAAACATAAAACCTTGAATATGGCTGTAATGTGACCAAAATGATATAAAAAATTACAACATAAAAAGTAAAATTTGGGGGCTGGAGAGATAGCACGTACAAGGCGTTTGCCTTGTACGCGGCTGACCTAGGTTCGATTCCAAGCATCCCATATGGTCCCCTGAGCACCGCGAGGAGTAACTCCTGAGTGCGGAGCCAGGAGTAACCCCTGTGCATCGCTGACTGTGACCCAAAAAGCAAAAAAAAAAAAAAATTCTAATAACATACAATTTTTGTTAAATTTTTTTAAAAAAGAGAACGGTTAAAGATCTTTCCGAAATTCTGCCTCCATTCTTCCCAAGATAATTACTGACATAAGTTGGACTTCTGTTTTAGTCCATTTAGATTGGATTTTTTTGTTGTTATTTGGGACACACCTGGCAATGCTCATGGGATACTTCTGACTGCCTGGGGTGCAAAGGGGTGTTTGGGGTTGAACCCAAGCCTCCTGCATACAAAGTATGCACTCAGCCCACAGAGCTCTCTCTCTGGCCTTTAAAATGTGTGCATATGCAGTCAAGTGTCACACTCCTAGGTTACTTTCACTTTTTGTTAATATTAGGAATGCAATTATATTTTTCAATATTGTTTATGAAGGATATAATTTAAAATTCTGTAATCTTGGTTTTTTCCTACTCTGGAGAAGTCTGTGTTCTCTCTTGAACACTTCTTTCTTTCTCTCAACTCTATCTGCCCTATTATTCCCTCACACATATCTTTCAGTAAACTTTGAGAAAATATCCTGTAACTTTATTTTATACACATTAACAGGACCAGAAAGACAGTACAGGATGTAAGGCACTTTTCTTATAGCACATTGGCTACATCAATTGCAGCCCTGATTCAAATGTGCAGCACTGAATTTAGACCCCAGCACTGACAGGGATCACCCTGAGCACAGCGCTGACAACAGTGCCTGAGCTCTGCTAGGTAGGGCCCAATACCCACTGTCCTCCTGCCAGGCCAAATTGCGTCCCTCTCCCCCCCAACATTAATGATTATAAGAAAAGCAAATCGGACATGGTATGTACTTACGATAGTAGATGCTCATCAGGGACTGCAAAATGAAAAGAAAATTACATTAAACTGGAGACAAAAATAGAAATCTTAAAACACTGTAACCAAAAGGCTTTTGTGCATTGAATGTGTGCATCCAATTTTACTCCTTTCCATACTCCACTGTCACTGTCCTCCCGTGGGTCATCGATTTGCTTGAGCGGGCCCAGTAACGTCTCCACTGTGACACTTGTGTTTGGCATATGGAATACATCATGGGTAGCTTGCCAGGCTTGGCTGTGTGGGCGAGATACTCTCAGTAGCTTGCCGGGCTCTCCGAGAGGGGCAGAGGAATTGAACTCGGGTTGACCATGTTGGTCGCTTGCAAGGCAAATGCCCTACCTGTTGCGCTATTGCTCTAGCCCCTAAACTGGGCTGTTTAACTGGGCAGAAACATGCAGTAAATTGTAATGAACTTTAAAAAAATTAACTGGGGGTGGGGGTGGGGGGCTGAGTCTGTGCCCTGCCGAAGCCCCACAGATGCTACTGTGCAAATCATGTAAATAGCCCAACTTCATTGTTTGACTAACTCTGCAGAGACATCAAGCCAAAGAAAAATTTCAGGTACACCAGTTTTTAGGTTGAAAAGTCTGGGATTTTCTCCAAGTGGGCTGAGAAGTTTGGGGTCTTCTCAAAGTGGAGGTGGGAAGCCTCCCCCAACCCTATCCCAAACTGCTGGAAGCCCTAGCAGCACACCCACATCCCATTGGCACCACTGTGTAAGAAACAGCTCAGACCCACAGCTTCAGTACTGTCACTGTCCTCCCGTTGTTCATCAATTTTCTCAAGCGGGCCCAGTAATGTCTCCATTGTGAGACTTCTTGTTACTGTGTTTGGCATATTGAATATGTCACGGGTAGTTTGCCAGGCTTTGCCGCATGTGAGATACTCTCGGTAGCTTGCGGGCTCTCGGAGTGGGGCGGAGGAAATGAACTCGGGTCAGCCATGTTGGCTGCATGCAAGGCAAACACCCTACCCGCTGTGCTATCGTTCCACCCAGCTTCAGCACTAACCTCCAACAAATACAAGCCAAGCTGAAACTCATTGGCCCAGTTCTACAGATCCTGGAATTCCTAGAACACAAGAGATACCACCAAATTCCACAAAACTGAAAGCCCAGTAGGAGCACACAGATTAGATGGGAAAATAACATAGAAGCCAACCAAGCACACTAAACAAAAACAACACAGACGGGTAAACTGGCAACAAATTAGTAAATCTTTAGACAATAACTTTAATGACCCCATGGTATGGATATAATTTTCACAAATTTTCTTTTTTTTTAAATGTAGGAGTACTGCTATTTATTCAGCCACTGATTAGCTGATGGAATTGTGCATGAACTCCACTACAAATTTTCTTTTACTGAAATATATTTTCGTAATTCCATTAACTATTTTGTTGTAACATGCAATATAAATTATTTTGTGCTGGCTAAGGGGACACACTGGGGTTGGGGGGAAACTGAGGGCAATGGTGAAGGGACATTTACACTGGTGGTAGGATTGGTGCTGGAACATTGAATATCTGAAATAATTGTATTATGAACAACTCTGTAAACCATGGTGTTTAAATAAAGAAAAATGTCGGAAAAATGCCTCCTAGGGGCTGAAGTGATAGGATACTGCATAGAGTACTTGCCTTGCATATGGCCAACCTGGATTTGATCCCAGGTATTCCATATAGTAGTCCCCCAATCCCCTCCAGTATTTATTCCTGAGCAGAGCCAAGATTTTTGCCCTGACTATAGCCTAGTGTGGCCCCGAACAAAATCAAAACAATAAATTAAAAAAATGCCACCTTCAGGGTCCAGAATAGCAAGTGCGTAGGTGTTGCCTTGCATGTGGCCAACTCTGGTTCAATCCCCAGCAGCCCATATGGTTCCCTGAGCATCACCAGGAGTGATCTAAGTATAGAGCCAGGAGTAGGCCCCATGTACCACTGGACATGACTCCAACACCCCTCGTCCCCAAAAACTCCTTCAATTATTGAAAAAAAAAGAGACCATTCAAACTTCTAGTCTGGGTCACATATAGAAGACCAGAACCTGAGAAGTGAGAAGGTAGTGAATAATGCTTTCAGATATCAAGAAATTTTATTTCCAACACACACACACACACACACACACACACAGATAGATACAGATATCTGGTCAAACTAACAATTTTGTGAGGACAGTAAAAGAAAACTTTTTTTTAAAAACATGTTAAACACCCCAAAAGTGTAAGATTGTACACTTTTCTCTAGGAAGCTACCAGAGTATGCTCTAAAGTGAGGTAGCAGAGGAAAGAAGATTGGAGGGGCTGGATAGTATTGTGGGTAGCGTGTTTGCGTTGCATGTGGCTGACCTGGGTTTAATCCCTGGCATCCCATGTGGTCCCTCAAGCCTACCAGGAGGATTCCTGAGTTTAGAGTTGGTAGTCAAGCTCTGAGTAGCACTGGGTGCTTTCCTTTAACCTACTGAATTTTTTATTTCACTTTATAATAAGCTACTTAATTTAACACTAGTCAGTGAGACATTACAAACTTTTTTGTTGTATAAAGGAGAGAAATATATGTGATTATATTGAGAATACTCATCTGGAGCAAAGGTAATATTTATGGTAGCACTGTCCTCCCATTGTTCATCGATTTGCTGAGTGGACACCAGTAATATCTCTTGTGAGACTTGTTACTGTTTTTGGCATACTGAATACATCACGTGCCTGGCCACGTGGGCGAAATACTCTTGGTAGCTTGCCAGGCTCTCGGAGAGAGGCAGACAAATCAAACCCAGATTGGCTGCGTGCAAAGGAAACGTCCTACCCACTATGTTATCCTCAATGTAGGGCCTGGAGCAATAGTGGGGCAGATAGGGCATTCACCTTCCCAAAGAAACAAAGAAAAAGCAAAAAAAAAAAAGGGGTGGGGGAAGAAAAGAAAATTGGAGAATACTAAACATAAGGCTCTGCAGAGGTAAAAGAAATTCCTAAGATAAATAATAATAAAAATGGGAGATTAGCAAGTTCATACTAGAGCAGGTCAGAAGGCTCTACAAAAACTTCATTTGAAAAATGAAATTGATAAAACATCCATATGTGGTCTTGAGTAGAGAACTTAAAATGCTGATAAAGCAACAGGTTAAGTCAGGGATAAATCCACAGGAATTAATAAAGAAGCAAACGAAAGGTTTTGAAACAGAAAAAACTAAGCGGGAATCAATGACACTGCTGCTCATTTCTAAACCTCTCTGCAAGACTGTCACAATGTTATGTGATTAATTCAAACACAAAGCCCACTTCTGGTAACACTTTGACTTGGCAACATGGGTTTTTCTCCATCCTTCCTTGGATGTTTGAATATATGTCTGAATTCCAGACTGGCCTAGTCTATTAAGGACATGCACTTAAGTCTGGTTGACTTTTACTGAAATTAAAAAACAAAAGTTAGCTCACATCGACCTTTAAAAAACAAGATAAATCTTTCCAAAGTGCACACCTGTCAAACAGAAACTGTCCAAGTGAAAAGAGTGGGAAGTTTTGAGGTTTTATTTGGTATTAGTTATATTTACGTTGGTTGAGGTACTGTAATTAGCTGCTGGACATTTTGATGTCTAAGTGTCCTTCCCATTAACACTGGTACAGCGTCTGACCCGCTGTGAGCAGTCACACAGCACCTCCTACTGGCCGGGGGGGAAAAGCTACTTGCACTTCGTCAATGAAATGCATCGTTGCTTTAACATTCTGGCTTTGTGGCCCTCAAATATTTACTGAACAAGTGTCGGAGGATTAATTTCAAAGTGTTATCATTTTGTGGAAAATATTAAGAATTCAACATTTCTCCTTCCTATGACGTTCCCGTAGACGCACCTGCGCCTTCCAGTCCCTCCTCAGACGCCTCCGGCCGCCTCAGCGCCCCCGCCCCGCGGGCCTGACCGCCCGGGACTGCGCGGCCCCTACAAACTTTCCTGCCGTTCTCTCCGTCCTCCTTTCCTACGGACTGGGGCTGGGAGACAGGACCGAGAGGAAAAGGGACAGAGCGGCCGGGGCTCGGGGCGCGGCGGCGGGCCGGGCAGCCCCAGGGTCACCCGCTCTCGCGCCCGACAGCGCCAGGCCCACGCCGCGCACCCGCCCGCCCGTACTTCGCGCGCTTTCCCGCACCGCCGCAGCCATCTCGCTCAGAAGTTCCTCTACGACCGAAGGCAAAGTGACTTCAGGGAAGACGACGGCCATGGGGCTGCAGGCCCCGTGGTGCCCAGGAGGCGCAGACGGCACGATGGAAGCGCGGGGACCTGACTCCCGCCGCCAGCGGGGCCGGCACGAAGCGACGTCACGCATCACTGCGTAGGCGGCTGGCTTTCCGGCCCCCGTCAGGGCCCGACCAATCGGGTCGGCGCTCGGCGCTGGGGGCGGGATGTAGGTCAGGGTCTGACCAATCGGGCTGGTGCTCGGCGCTGGGGGTGGGACGTGCCGGGGTCGGGTCCGGCCGGCGGGGCGGGGCGCGGCGGACGCCGGCTGAGCAATGTCCCGGCTGCTGCGTTCCCTCTGGGGCCGCGGCCTCCTGCGGGCCGGGGGACGACGCGGCCAGGTGTGCTCCGCGCGCCCGGTCCCGGAGCCGGCGGGGCGCCAGACCCCTGAGGTGGCGGTGCCGCGGGCCCGGGTCGCGCCGCAGGACCGGGGCCCGGGCCTGCTGCCACTCCTGGCAGGTGAGGGGCGTGGGCCGCGCGGGCCGGGGGCCGGGCGGTCACCTCACGCCCCTTCAGCAGCGCTGGCAGGTGAGGGGCGCGGGCCGGGGGCGGGCGGTCACCTTAAGCCCCTTCCGCAGCGCTGGCGTGGTTCTCGGAGACCGAGGAGCGGCAGGGCGTGGCCTCGGGGGCGGCGGCGGACGAGACGGAGGCAGAGATCATCCGGCTGCTGAAGCGCGCCAAGGTGAGCTTCCCGCGGCCCTGGCCGCGCTCCGGACGCTCCGCTGGGGACGCGGGGACAGCCGGGCCTTATGGCGGGAGGGACCCTGGGAGCCTCCGAGGGCTGTTCTTTCCCAGGACTTGCCGGGAACCCGTGCAGTCTCGCGTGCAGAGGAAGGTGTCGTAGGGCGTCCCTCCTCATGCAGTCAGACCTAGCGAAGTGTTTTGTAGCGGTTGTCAGCCCAGTTGGAAACGCGGGCGTTCCCCACTTCAAATCAAATAGAGTCTTGAACCGAGTGCAGCGTCCTGAAAATGCAAGTGGCTGCAGTGGTTCGGCGGCTTGGTTCTGCGCCAACCCTGCCTTTTCTCCACCTCCCGGCTCCCAGCCCCCACCCCTGCCAGGTTTCCTCTTCGCTTCTGTTTCTCACCTTTTCTGGCTGATACAACATCCACTGTTCTTTTCTGATATTGCAGTAGGATGTCGATATGCCATCTTCCCCAAACTGTTTACTTGAAGCACAATTGACATGCAGCATTCTATTAGTTTCAGATGAACCACATGATTTACTGTTTGTGTTCATTGCAAAGTGTTCATTTGCAGTGAACACAAAATAAGTCTAAGGAAGATGGGAAACATTCTTAGAATATCTACAAATTTGCATTGCTGTATTTTTTCCTAAGGCCTGTAGGCTGTGCACTATCTGTAATAAGGATTTAATTATTTTTAGGGAAGTATGATTGACAGTATTAGGTGTGCAACATCCAAAACCAAATTCCTTCCCCCCCACCCCTCAGAATTTAATTTTATTTAAAACACAGAATTACAAAGTTATTCCTAGTTGGGTTTTGGACAGACAATATTCCATCACCAGTCCTGCCACCAGTGTCAACTTCCCTCCATCAGTGTTCCCAGTTTCCCTCTCCTATCCTCCCACCCCATCTTGACAGGCACCTCCTGCAGGCCCCTTAATAGGCACCTTTTAAATTTGGTTATTAAAGTTTGGGTCTCATGATTTCAGTATTGTTGATTCTGTGGTTTGGATATTTAGCTTTATCTTTCCTTAACATCACCAATGTACCTTGACCCCATCCCTGTTGCTCCTCATCTATTACTTCTCCCCTTTTTATTCACTCTATTTCTTTACTTTTGCTCCCTATACTCTGGGGCCGAGGCATCTCCCCTTTAAACCATTACATTTTCTTCTTCAGATACTCTAAATATCTATAAGTAATATTTTGTATTTATCCTTCTCGTGGCTTACTTAATTTAATATGATATCTTCCAGTTCCATTTATGTTGCAGCAAATTGCATGGTTTCATCATTCCTTACAGCTGCATGGTATTCCACTATGCATCATATACCACATCTTCATGATCCACTAATCTTTTGTTGGACATCTAGGTTGATTCCAAATTATAACTGTTATACTGAGTGATGCAATGAATAGTGGTGTGCACATGTCCTTTGAATGAATGTTTTTCTGTCCTTGGGACAAAACCAAATTCTTTTTTCTCTTTTTATTTTCTTTTTAAAAGTTTTTATTGTATATCTGTGAGATAGACCATTACAAAGCTGTTCGTGATGAGGTTTCTGTCATACCATAATGCAACACCTATCCCTCCACCAATGCACATTTCCCACCACCAGTGTCCCCAATTTCCCTCTCACCTTCCTCCAGCCACCCCCTCGCGCAGTGCCAGGTTATTCAGTTGGGGTCAGCCACAGATAAGCACCCTACCTCCGGTACCATCTCTGTGGCCTGGTTTTTTAATCAGTGTGTGGCACCAGGTGTCACTCCCAGCAGTGCAAAATCAAATTTTTGATCTTAAATGCTCCCAACATATTCCTTCACTATCTTTTGCTAGCATCTATATCTTTCATCATCTTTTGCTAGTTTCTCATCCAGGAAACCTCATAGTAATTCTTAAAACTTGTGTTGCCTTACTTATACCACATGTTTTAAGTCCTTCAAACGCTTACAGTCCAGCATGAAATCTACCAAATCAACAATTTCTCTCAAATCTGCATCTTTTCTTTCTCTCAAGGTATTGCTGTACCATGTTGCCACAACCTACAAAGTAGTACTGTCACACCCTGTTGCCCTACTCATACTCCATTTTCATGCAATAGCCAGTGATTTTTATATATATCAGATCATACTACTTTCTTACATAATGACTCCCCACTTCAAATCAAATAGAAATTTCTTGCCACTCCCCAGTCATCTGGTAGAGTCCCTTACCTGATAGACCCTCATTCACCCAGGATACCCTCACTTACTGGCTAAAGCCCTCACTTACCTGATCATTACATCCATGCAGGAGGTCAGAGACCAAAAGAAAGAGGAACCTGACCCTTCACACCTGAGGGTCCCCAGGCTGTTGCCTCAATAATGAAATGTCATAAACTGCCACTTCCCCCTTTAGAGGAAATAAAAAGGTAAACAGGCTGTGTTATTAATTATAGCAGTAGTGTGGGTAATTTAGACTTTAAATCAACAAAGTCGTTTCTCTGGTGATGCCATGAATGGCCACTGGGAAGTGCCACATGCCCAGAGCTTGCCTGACTTGCAGGAATATAAGGCCCTGCCCTGAGGATACTCCTCATGCAACCTTCTCCTGCTCTATCTCTTGCACTTCTGACCTCCACCTCACCTATCAGAACTCTGGGCTGCTATGGCTGTTCTGGAGGCTGTGGTTCCAGCTGCTTTGTGCCTATGTGCTGCTGTATGCCAGCCTGCTCCTCCAGCTGTGGCTCTTGTGGCTGCTGCCAGTCCAGCTTCTGCAAGCCCTGCTGTGGCTCCTGTGGCTGCTGTATTTCTGTTTGCTGTCAGTGCAAGATCTGAGATGCCAACTGCAGCCTAGACCTTTAAGGTTGTAACCCCTGTGCAGCTGCTACATCAATCCCACCTCCAGTCCTCCCCAACCCTGTTCCCTCTTCCTCCCTTGTATTTCAGTCCCAGTAGATTAAACCTGTGGGCTATCCCTAACCTCAAGATAAATAATTTCAGAATGTTTATTGTTTACATATAAAAAATCAATCCACTTTGTATTGCATCCTGCAACTCTACAGGTCTTGTTTATTCTGAAAGATGTGTGTGGTGTGTGTGCACAGGGTGTATGTATCATCAGTATGTTGCATGTACATGTATGTGTCACACCTATTGGATTGCAGAGGTGAGCCAGCACACTTAACTCCTCCTCAAGGGAAGTACAGGATGGAGTTTATTTTGTTAAAATTATTTATAATATTCTCATCAAAGATTGTATTTTCAGAGGAGCCATAAATGCTTGAAGGCAAAGACAACAGGAGAAAAAGCGGGAGGTTCCCAGACAGATGTCAGAACCGTGGGACAGGCAGCCCTGAAGGCCAAGGGTGGGACAACATGGAAGGACAGACGGCATTTGAAGTCACATCACAGCTATTACCAGTCTCTGGAGCAGAAAAATCTGATCTGAACAGGTACTCACGTGAAAGCCAGAAAATGGTAGCATGGGGAGAGGACATGCAGGAAGAGCTAGTGTTAGCAGGTGGGAAGGGCTCGACGCGGCCTGGAAGACAGAAACTCACTGAGCTCCAAGCCTGGGTAACCTTCAAAATAAATGTCTCTAATGAAGTTACATTAGCAAGAAGCAGATGAAGCAGAAGGGTTTCTTGCAAGTATAAATAGGTACTGCTGATGTCCAAACTTACGGCATCAGTCAGTGTATTAGGCTCACATGGCAGAGCTGGATATGGTGAAGTTGCCAGTTCTGAAACAGAGACACATTCCCCCTTTCAGCCTATCTATCAGGAAACACCACCACCAGCATGTGCATCAGTCTTCAAAACTGAGAGGTAACATGAGTCCTATTAAATATCAGGAAAAATGTTTTCTAGAAGAAAAGAGACTGATTCATAAATTTTATGGAAAGCCCACAAAATGAGTAGAGTCGTGGAAAGGAGAAGCAATGGGGGAGGCCTCTCCTTGCTCTTCTAGTGCTGGGGGGGCTCCAGGGTCAGTCTGGAGGTGGGCAAGACAGGCACAGGAGCCTATGGACCCTAGTGGACTGACCTCATGAGCTTGTGCAAAAGTGTAAAGACCCACCTGCTCTGCTCTGGGAACTGGAGAGACCTGGAGGTCAGTGGCTATGAGGCCTGAGGGGATCCTCACGTATTCACTTTGCTGAGTCTCGGGTTTGGACATAGAAACACCAGCTGCTGTTTCCTACAAAAAAATCTTCTGGTCCAAGTTCTCATGCAACATCCAATTCTGAGGCTTTTGAAAAATAAGTGAGCCACAGTTCATGAACTCTCCCCTAAAGGCTTTATTCGAGGTAGTTGCCTGGGTGGACCTGGGTGCAGCAGTAGAATTTTTGCTCAGAATGTGTGAGGCCCTGGGTTTGATGTCTGGCACCCACTTTCCTAAAACAAAACAAAACAAAACAAAAAAAATGAGCTGCTGCCCTGCTGGTTAGAGAACCGAAGAGCAATGAGAGTATGGGGGTATGGATGGGGGCATTTGCAAGACCTCTCAGAATTGCTCCACTCTCAAGTACAGAAGTTGCTTTCAGACTTTGGCCAGAATATTCAACCCAGCAAGCAAGTGAAGAAGAGAAGTGAAGGGCTGTGTCAGAGGAGGCAGAGGGTATTCAGAGGCACTGTAATTGATGGAATGGAGGTGGTGTCATCAGTGAGAGCCCTTGAGACATAGGAAAGAGCTGCTGGAAGGAGCAGGATATCCACACATGTGTCACTGCTGTGCACACATATGTGCCATGTGTATGCATCTGTGTGTTGTGCATATTGAATATGCATGTCCTATGTAAAGCCATCTGTATGTGCATACATCTCCGTGCCATGTGTGCACATGTGCTGTGAGTATGTGCACCTGTGTAGCATGAATGAATGTACCTGTGTGCCTTGTGCATGCACCGATGTGCTTTGTGTGTATGCACCTGTGTACTCTTGTATGTGCTCCTGTGTTTTGTGAGCCTGTGTACTGTGTGTACTATGTGTGTGTGCACTTGTACGCCACGTGTGAATGTATCCAAAGGTACTTGGGAGACCATGTGGTACAAGAGATTGAACTTTCATTCTCCCTCCCTTCCTCCTTTCCTCCATTTCTTCCTTCCTTTCTTCCTCCCCCCTCCCTACCCAGGGCCTCACAAATGCAAAGCAAGTGCTCTTTCACTGAGCTGCAGCTCAGCCCTTCATTTCTTAGGAAGCTTGGTATAGCCTTTTAGGGCCTTTGCTCATGTCCTGTTATATTGGCTTATTCTTCCCCACAATTCCTTATTTGAGCCTCTTCTCTGTCCTACCTCAGTTGAACTGTCACTTCTTTGGGATCCTACTCCCATTTAGAAGAGATCTGTTATGATTTCTTTCCATTGATTTTTTTTTCTTTATAGCTTTAATCATTATTTGTGATCTAGCATATTTGCCCTACAGAGTCACTGGCAGGTTACAAGAAGAGAGGAAAGGGGATAAAGGGCAAGCAACTACCTTCTTTTTTTTTTTTTTTTTTTTTTTTTTACTTTTTTGGCCATACTTAGCGATGCTCAGCAGTTACTCCTGGTTCTGCACTCAGGAATTACTCCTGGCGGTGCTCAGGGAACCACATGGGAAGCCTGGGGATTGAACCCAGGTCAGCCATGTGAAAGGCAAATACCCTATCTCTGGCCCAGACAGCTTCCTTCTAAAATAAGAAATAAGAATTACATTCCTGCTGCTTGTATCTGTTATCCAAAATGTTATATAGCTTTCCATAGCTGTAAGGACATAGTAGAAATTTATGAACTATTTCATGAATGGCATCCCTCTGTGTACCAATAATCGTATAGCCACCTCCAATTTTATTTTCTAACACATGCATCTGTTTTTCTTACATTTAATTTTGTTTTCTTTCCAGTTGAGCATCATGAAAGATGAACCAGAAGAAGCTGAGCTAATTTTGCATGACGCTCTTCGTCTTGCGTATCAGAGTGATAACAAGAAGGCCATCACATACACTTATGATTTGGTAAGTTTCTTGACCAGTCTGAGGTACGGGTGACGAAGGGTGGATGCAAGAGAAGATTGTTAGTTTTCCTGTTCAGATTCTTGACCTTCAGCATATACTAAAACTCTTGTTTCTTGTTTTACCTAACTTGTTTATTTTTTTGTTTTGTTTTTTTTTTTTTGCTTTTTGGGTCACACCCAGCAATGCACAAGGGTTACTCCTGGCTTTGCACTCAGGAATTACTCCTGGCGGTGCTCAGGGGACCATATGGGATGCTGGGAATCGAACCTGGGTCAGCTGTGTGCAAGGCAAACGCCCTATCCGCTGTGCTATTGCTCTAGCCCATTACCTAACTTGTTTTATTTTTAAATTATCGCTGGAGATAAGAAATCTCAATCCCAGACCAAAAAGAAACAAGTATTATTAGCATTTGGTTCTTCATTGATGAGTGAATTGAGATGAATGAATAGCTTATTGATGACAAACCAAATACTTATTCTCACACCATTAGTTTGAGATTAGTTTGTAGCAGATCAGTGACATACTTTTTCTCTCTGAGAGGTGTGAATGTGTATTTGTGTGTGTCTGTGTTGAGGGTAAAAGCACAGGAAAATTGTAGTTTAAAAGTTTTGAACTAAGTAGGAAAACAGTGCTCTAAACTAAAAACGATTTGTAATTTGCTTTCAGATGGCCAACTTAGCATTTATGCGGGGTCAACTTGAAAATGTAAGTAAAGCACTTTGTAAAAACTTTGATTTGTAGAGAACTAGCTTAAGGGAACTTTGTAAGTCTGAGTACAGGTTAAGCTGCTAAGACAAAAAAACTTCAAACCAGGGGGTATTTAGTGCTCTTTAGTTTAATTTAATTTTAATTAAATACATTAAGGCTCCCCATGACGTATTCGATATGCCAGACACAGTAACAACAAAGTCTCCAATGGAGACGTTACTGGGCCCGCTCGAGCAAGGACTAATGCATTTAGTGCATTAAGTGTTCAGTGCCCCTCGTACATTGTTCAGAAGAAGCTAAACACTTAAAAAATGGGGATGGATACTTTTGCACCATAAAGTAATCAAGAAGCCCAGGTTCCCTCCAAGATAAACCCTCATATGCATAGGTGAGCATTCTTAACTGCAGCTTGCAAGATAGAAGAAAAATGGGATGAAGGGGAAACAGATGCTTATAGAATATGATTTAAAAATCATTCATGTTCCTTCTGGACCAAAACATTATTATATAAGTCAGAGCTGTTAAAAATTGATATTTTGTAACTAAATAGATTAAAGAGGAAATGAACATTAGGTACAGTTTATAGTCTCTATTATAGTGGTGTGGATAAAAAAAAAGAGAATAATTCCTGGAATCAGTTTTTACTCTTCACAGAGTAGGTTTTTTTTTTTTTCACATTTTGGGTCATACCCAGTGATGCACAGGGGTTACTCCTGGTTCATGCACTCAGGAATTACTCCTGGCGGTGCTCGGGGGACCATATGGGATGCTGGGAATTGAACCCGGGTCGGCCGCATGTAAGGCAAACACCTACCCGCTGGGCTATTACTCCAGCCCCAAAATAGTTTTTAAGAGGATCAGTTTGAGTCTGTATTCCCCTCACAAGGATTCTTTTCTCTGAGTATATGTATATATATTTGTATGTGTTTTACAAGAAATCACGTGTCAGGTTAATAGTTAGAATCTAGGATCATATAACTAATGTGACCTAAGTAAAAGAAAAATCTTTTCTTCATGTTTTTAGGCAGAAAAACTTTTCAAAGCAACAATGAGTTATCTGCTTGGAGGAGGCATGCATCAGGTAAGAAAGAAAGTTGCCTAAAATTGGGTCCTAACTGAAACAATTTAAAAAATAATCTTGTTTCCTGGGCTGGAGTGATAGTACAGCAAGTAGAGCACTTGCCTTGCACACGGCTAACCAGATTCAACTGACTGAGTTTGATCTCTGGTATCCCATATGGTCCCCTGAGTCTGCCAGAGGTGATCCCTGATTGCAGAGCCTGGAATAAACCCTAGCACCACTGGATGTAGCCCAAAAACCAAAATTTAAAAGATAAATTTTGTTTCCTAAAAATTCTGCTCAATCTCCAGCATGTGCTTTTCCTTTTATAAAAGGTGGATTTCCCCTACTCGGACCTTGTAAAAACCTGCCAGATTCTCACTGATGTAACGTCACGGTAGCTGAGGAATTCCTAGTTGTATAATTACTTAAATAAAAAAGATAAATACTTTGGTATTTAGATCAAAGTCAGTCTAGGAGTTGATGTTATAATCCATAAGGAAAGTTAATTTTTTATGTATTTCCTTCATTTTATTTTTTCTAATAGGAAGACAATGCAATAATTGAAATCTCTCTAAAGCTGGCCAGTATATATGCTGCTCAGAACAGGTAAGTGTAGTCAAAATTTATGTATGACAGCGACCAGGAGAAAAGGCTGTGGGAGAAAACTTTGATATTAGAGTATTATGTAATCGTCACTTACTTTATAATAATCTGGGTCTTCATTAAAGTTGGTGTTATTACTCAGAAGTGTGTATCTTTGAAATCTTCAAGCTTTTTTATTTTTATTCATGCTACTTCCTTTAATTTGCTAATTGAGTCGTGAAGCCCTCATAACTTTGGCTGCTCTCTGACAAAACTGAGCAGTTTTTTGTTTGAACTGAGAATGGGAGTTTTAGCTAGAATTTTAGCTCTTCCTAGAAGAAGAGAGAAGCAATGTAAAAGAGATAGAGGAAATAAATTTTGTCCTTTAATTTTTTGTGAACTATACCTGGTGGTGCTTAGGGATTACTCCTGGCTTCGTGTTTAGGGATCACTCTTAGCAGTGCTCTGGGAACCATGTGGGGTGCCATGGGTTGAATACAGGTCAGCTGTGTGTGAAGCAAACACTCTACCTGTTAGACTATTGCTCCGGCTGTTGGAGAAAATACATTTTGAAGAAGCCATTTTGCTAGGGCTGGGTTTAAGGCTTGCATGCATCCAAACCTATTTCAATCACTGGCATTATATGATCTCTGAGCACTGCAGGGTGTGACCCAAAACCCATTAGGTATAATGAGAAACCAGTTATATGGATATCTCAGTGGCTAATTCAGTGGGAACTATTTTTAAAGGATATGGAGAAGCTTTAGTAGCTAAGTTTTAGGGAGGCCAAATATCTTTTTTTTTTCTTTTTTAAGTGCAATATATTTATTTCTGCTAGAAATGTATTATCAACATTATGTAATATTTGAAACATTACATATTATTTGTAAACAGCTTAAAATTATATATTACCCAAAATTGTACATAAGTACCAATGTGTGGATATTAATTTCTTTCATTAAAAACAGTGTGGTTTTGATACATATACACACATTACACCTTTTATTATCTTACACATGTTGCTATATAATTCTTTTTTTTTTTAGTGAAGCACCATGAGGTACAGTTGTAGATTTACAAATCTTTGTGCTTGGGTTTCGGTCATACAATGATAAAATACCCATCCCTCCACCAGTGCCCATTTTCCACCACCGTGGATAATATCCCCCCCACCCCCCCCCCTCCCACCCTGCCTCTGTGGCAGGGCATTCCCTTTTGTTCTCTCTCTCCTTTTGGGTGTTGTGGTCTGCAAAAGAGGCATTGAGTGGCAAACATGTTCAGTCCATAGTCTACTTTCAACATGCATCTCCCCTCCTGGGAGGATCCTCCAAACACCCTTTATTTGGTGCTCCCTTCTCTATCTGAGCTGCCCTTTCCCCTAGATGGGAGGCCAAATATCTTAAAGAGGAGATCTTTAAGTACTATAGGAAGACAGTGCTAATTTAAAAATACTAGGTGAGGAGCCAGAGAGATAGTATAGTGGGTAGGGCCCTTGCCTTGCACACAGCTGACCCCAGTTCTATCCCTGGCACCCTATATAATCCCCTGAACCCTTCCAGGAGTGATTCCTGAGTGAGAACCAAAAGTAAGCCTTGAGCATTGCTGGGTGTGGCTCAAAGCCCCCACCCAAATTTTTTTTCAAAGCTTAAGTTGAGTCTTGGGGCTGGAGCAATAGTACAGCGGGTAGGTCGTTTGTCTTGTATGCGGCCAACCTGGATTTTGAGTCCCAGCATCCCATATGGTTCCTGAGCACTGCCAGGAGTAATTCCTGAGTGCAAAACTAGGAGTAACCCCTGTGCATCACCAAGTGTGACCCAAATAAGCAAAATAAATAAAGCCTTAAATGAATCTAAATTCTTACAGAACTATATGAGAATTCAAGAAAACAATTTTGGATGTCAAGTCAGGAATACCAATAGACTTGAAGACTTTTATTCTCTCTACATGGAATTCAAAGAAGAAACATGTAGAATATAAATAGAGAACTTTTCTACTTATTTTTTTGGCAAACTTAAGGGTGGAATTAAGACTAGGTTTTTCTTCTTTTTTTTATTGTTATCATTCTCTTTTTCATTGGTATCAGAGGTTTGGAATGACATCAAGCCTAGTGCAGTGAAAAGAATGTGCATTGAGACCAGGGTCTTGGTACTGGTCCCTGTTACCCAAGATATCAGTGTCTTCATTGCATGACCCAGCTAAGTCTCCTTGCATTTTAGTTCTGTACTAGATTAGCTAGAACTTCTCAGAGCCTTTGACTTCAAGTTTTAAACTTTAAACTTAGAGAGCATTTCAGTTTTGCTCTTTCTAGAGGAATAGGGAAGAGGACTAGATGTTTAAGGGGTATGAATTTAGAGTAAAAAGAAGTCTAGAACTAATAAACACTGGAGAGTAAGACTAATTCATTGCTTCCTAGAAATTAAAGTATGTATAGTTACCTAGTTACCATTAGTGATCTATAAGTTATTATGCACTCTTCCCAAAAGTGCTTTTTTTTTAATTTAATTTTTATTTTTACTTTGGGGCCATACTTGATGGTGCTTGAGGGCTATTCCTGGCTCTGCTCAGGGGTCGCTCCTGGTTGTGTTCAGGGAACATGTGGTATTCCATATGGGGTGCTGGGGGTCAGACCTGGGTCTCCTGCTTACATAGTATGCACCTACCTATTGAACTGTCACTCTGGTCCCTTGATTTTATTATATAAGAGAAACAAAACTGAGAAAATATGCCTAGATTCTGAGCTTAGGAAGGCTACTGTTAGGTTTGTTTGTAGACATTTTGCTCTAACTGGAGCATCTTAGAAGCATCTTAGAGCACTTCTTGCTCTGTGTCCTGGTTGAACAGGACAATCACGTCAAGATTTGGGAATGGGGAATAGAAGGGAAGCTTCTATTCTTTTAAGTAAAGAGTAGAACAATGGGGTCATTTGTTCTCCCCTGGGAAGAGATGGGCTTTGTAGTGCTACAGCTTGTCAAAATCAAAAAACTGAAGCACAGTAGCACTGTCCTCCTGTTGTTCATCAGTTTGCTTGAGTGGGCACCCATAACATCTCCATTCTGAGACTTGTTTTTACTGTTTTTGGCATATTGAATACGCCACGGGGAGGTTGCCAGGCTCTGCTGTGTGGACGGGATACTCTTGGTAACTTGCCGGGCTCTCTGAGAGGGACGGAGAAATCGAACCTGGGTCGGCTGAGTGCAAGGCAAACGCCCTACCTGCTGTGCTATTGCTCCAGCCCTAAAACAAAACAAAAACATGGCATCCTTATCCATGTATGCCTTAAAAATTACCTTTCGATTTTAATACAATTGCAAGCACTAATATCAACTGCAAAATACATAGAGAAATAAAATTAGTAGTATGAGGAATTATTTATTTATTTATTTGCATTTTTGGGTTACACCCAGCAATGCTCGGGAGTTATTCCTGGCTCATGCACTCAGGAATTACTCCTGACAGTGCTTGGGGGACCATATGGGATGCTGGGGATTGAACCCGGGTCGACCGTGTGCAAGGTAAATGCCCTACCTGCTGTACTATCACTCCGGTTCCAAGAATTTTTTAATTTTAAGAATTCATATGAACTCTCTAATGAGTAAGATACTGGACACAATTACAGATGAGCAATATTCATAGTAAACTTCAACTTGCTAATATTGCAGTACATAAAACTAAGGAGTAAATGAGGTTTTCTACTACTTCTGCACAATGATGAAAATCTATGAGTGATTGGAATTTCCCCCTCCCACATTAAGGCTAGGAAATGCATTCGCCCCTTTTTGTGCTGTGTGAACAAGCACTCAGTTACTGTCTGACTCAAGAGTGCACAAGTTAAAGGAAAAACAATTCATCTCATCAGCCCTGGACTGAGTGCTTTAAACAACAGGCACATTTTGTTTTTTTCATTTGTTGCAATGAAAATAGTCACACTCTGTTTAGTTACTTTGTGCCAGTGCAACTGCCACGGCTGACTTAGGTAGAATTCACCCAGCATTTTAGTAACTTCCATTTTCCACCTCAGTTGGCCCAGAAGCTTCACTGTCACTGTCCTCCCCTTGTTCATCGATTTGCTCGAGCAGGCCCAGTAACGTCTCCATTGGAGACTTTGTTGTTACTGTGCTTGGCATATCGAATACATCACGGGTAGCTTGCCAGGCTCTGCCATGCGGGCGAGATACTCTAGGTAGCTTGCCGGGCTCTCCGAGAACTACATTAATTGCTGAGTGTCTTCTAGTGTGGACTGTATATGAATATTTCTACGTACCATAAGCTAATAAATTCTGCTGATGAAGAAAATAATTCCAGTCATTTTAGTGAAAACTGTATTTGGAACATCTGATCTGTTAGTTCTGGTGATGGAAACTTTTGTGGCAGCAAAATTTCTCCTATGAATGGCAACTTCTTAACTTTTCCCCTGGAGATTGACTGCATTCACAAACCAATATATTCTAACATTGCTAAACATCAACAAAAATACTAGAAACAGAAAAATCTTAGTGAAAAATGTTCTTTGTTCTTTCTACTTTAATGAAAAATGGAAAAAAAAAACTAAACATAAAACTAAAGTAAGAAAACTAAGAGTTGGGGGCTGGAGCAGTAGTATAGTGAGTTGGGTACTTGTTTTGCACACAGCCGACCTGGGTTTAATCCCCTGCCCCCCATACAGTTCCTCAGACACTGCCTGGAGTGATCCCTGAGTAAAGAGCCAAGAATAAGCCCAAGTGTGCCCCCTCAACCCCCACCAAAATGGAAGAAAATTAGGGACAAAATAGTAGTGCACAGGTCAAAATTGAACTTCAACATGGAGAAGGAATTTTTGTCATGTTTCTGTGCATCTCTGCAGGAAACAGCAGTTGGCATTTGTTCTGTTTGAAGGCAGTCTCCTTGCTTGGGTGCCCTTCCCACTTGACTCAGGTTTAGGCCAACCCCCCTAGGACATTGTGGTATTTTGTCTTGCTTCTACCTAGGAATCAAATCCAGAAACTTACACCTGAGGGGCTGAGGGGCATGTCCTCTACCATTCAGCTATATACCCTGCCTGGGAGTTGTGTTTTTATAAAAGATACTTTCATCAGAGACCTACAGATTGGAAGAAATATGAAGCTAAGCTCTCAAGAAATCAAATGAAATAGAAGTAGCTGCTGTCCTTCTTGTAGGGGGACCTTAACATTCTCTTCATATTAATATGATTTTGCACAGGTGGGAGGTTTTCATGAATAGAGAAACTGACTTATTTGGGGGATGGTGGTTTGGGGTCACACCTGGCGATGCTCAGGGGTTGCTTCTGGCTCTACACTCAGGAATTACTCCTGGCACTGCTCAGAGGACCATTTCGGATGACAGGGATTGAACGCAGGTCAACTGCATGCAAGGCAATTGCCCTACATGTTGTACTATCCTTCTGGCCCAAGACTGACTTTTCTGAAACTATTGGTGGGAGGATGATGAAAACTATCATATCAGTTAATAAAACCATAGCATCATTTTGTAATCTTTAGACTAAACCAATTACTTCTCCCTCCCCCTTTTTTATAGTGATGGCAGATTCATTCTCCTTTAGAGAATAAACATTCCTTCTTCCCATTTTATACTTTATTTTTGATAATGCTCAAACCCAAATCTGGAAAATGAGGATTGAGAAGAATTTGTGAAGAGGTGAACTTGCTAATCTTTGTGTTACAGACAGGAATTTGCCCATGCTGGCTATGAATTCTGCATTTCAACTCTAGAGGGAAAAATGGAAAGAGAAAAGGAAGTTGCAGAAGACATTTTGTCAGGTAAGGAATCCTGGTCCTTGTCTTCTTATCTTCTTTTTGCTGAAGAGTGCTTTCTGCTGTCATAAAGGAAAAGTATTTGAGCTAGGGGTGGAATGAGGAGGAGTTTCCATTTTGGAAATTAATGGGATATTTTTAAAGTATCAGCAGAGGGCAGGGAATAAGATGTTTAATGATTTTACCACTTTTTAAAAATATCTACTTCGCAACATGTTCATAAGAGTTCAAATGAACTCTTGGTGGAGTAATGAAGCTGGATAATTGGAGCAGAAAGAAAGGCTTTTTATTGTATTTCTTGCTCGCAGTAAAAATGTGAAATAATTACTTTATGGCCCAGACAAATTAAGCAACACAAAGAGAATTTTCATGCTTTTGCATCTCTTCATTCTCGTATAAGTATATGCATAAGTATAAGCATAAAGAACTGTACTAGAGATCAAATGGGACAAGTACGAAGCTCTCTAGCTTGGAGCAATTGGGTTTCTTTGTGGTGGGAAGTTTTGGGAATTTTCAAACTTGACATTGCACATTTATCCAAGATCTAGTGAACGTCTTGAAATAGTTGTCAGTTGTCCCTAAAGTAATATGCCTTGTAAGAATTGTGTGCTATCAGTTGCCTCTAATTTTATTATTTTGTTTGTCTTTGGGCCACACCTGTGGTGCTTAGTGCTTACTCTTGACTATGTACTCAGGGGTCACTCCTAGCAGTGCTCGGGAGCAGTGCTGGAGATCAAACACAGGTGGGCCGCATGCAAGTCAACCTGCTGTACTATTGCTCCAGTTAACAGATTTTCTTTCTTTTCTTTACTAGCTGTTTGAGTCATAAATGGCTTTTTGGGTCTTTTCTTTTCTCCTTTTAAAAGTTTGAATCAAGTGAGATTCAAATCAACACAGTTACAAAGTTGCTCACGATTAGGTTTCAGTGGTACAGTGTTCTAACACCCATTGCTTCTCCAGTGTATCTTTCCTTTCCCTGCCACCAGTGTTCCCAGTTTCTATCCCCAATTCTCTCCCCAACAGCCTGCCTCTATGGCAGATGCGTGCAGATACTTTTCTTCTTCTTTCTTCTTTCTTTTTTCATAACGTTTTTCTGTCACTCTGGCGATGCTCTCTTTATCAAGGTCACTAGTTTTTGAATCCTTATCTACTATATGTACTTGGAGCTCTGACCCAGGTGATCACTATGTTCTACTGATCCTGGCTTCTGGAACACCTCACAGGTCACCCCTTCCTTCTCTTAATATCACAGGAGGTAGCATTTAGTTCAGCACTTGGGTCCATGCCATCATTTTTTCTTGCTTAGACACCTCTAACTATCTCTGATTTTCCTGCTTCCTTTTCTCATACAGCCTTTATTTTTCTGGATCACACCCAGCAATGCTCAGGGCTTAATCCTGGTTCTGTGCTCAGGGATCACTCTTGGAAAGGATCAGGAATCTGTGTGGTGCTGGGGATCAAACTTGGTTTAGCCACATGCACGGCAAGTGCCTTACCCACTGTGCTATCTCTCTTCACCTGTCTCATACAATCTTTTATCCTTATAGCAGGCAAAATGACTTTGTAAGAATTCAGTGCCTTTGTTTTACCTTCAGTTTCAGAATCCCTGTGTCCTACTTGAGAGTATAGTTTCCTAATATACTTGATAGTATACTTGATATATATACTATACTCGATAGTAGTGTCTTGATTCTGACATACCTCTTCTACATTATCATACTGCTGCTCTTCTAGCTCATTTAACTCTCTCCACACTTGTTTTCATGCTTTTTATATATTCCTTATATATGTATCTTTTTATATCTATATCTTTATATATTTTTATATACATATCTTTATATATATATCTTATTGAAATCAAAATCTTATTACTTAATGTTCTATCTAGACTTTTTCCATATCTTTCATTGCTCGTTCCTTTCATTTAGTACTCTTCTAAAGCCTCCCCAGGAATGCCTGTTTATTTTATTTTTTAATTTTTTTATTGAATCAACGTGAGATAAAGTTTCAAAGCTTTCTTGATTGAGTTTCAGTCATACACTGATTGAACCCCCATCACTCCTCTAGTATCGCTTTCCCACCACCAATATCTCCAGTGTCCTTCCTGCCATCTCCACTCCACCCCACCCTCTGCCTCTATGGCAGGCAGTTTCCTTTTACTTTGGGGCATTGTGGCTTGCAGTACAGATATTGAGAGGTCATCATGTTTTTGATTGTCTACTTTTAGCACACATCTCCCATCCTCAGCGATCCCTCTAACTATCATTGACTTAGTGGTCCCTTCTCTATACCATCTGCCTTCTCCTCCAGCACGAGGCAGATTTCCAACCATGGACCAAGTCTCTACTGTCCTTGGGTGTTAGTCTCATACTGTATTATTTTATATTCCACAGTATTTTATATTGCAGTCATTCTATGCCTGTTCCTCTCTTTCTGACTCATTTTACTTAGCATGATATTCTCCATGTCCATCCACATAAGTGGATTATAAAATTCTGCTTATTTTTTTTTAAATTTTTATTAGTGAGACACCATGAGGTACAGTTGTAGACTTAACAAATTTTTGTGCTTGGGTTTCAATTATACAGTGATCAAATACCCATCCCTCCACCAGTGCCCATTTCCCACCACCACCACGGATCCCAATATCCCTTCCACCCCCCCATCCCCTCCATCCCACCCTGCCTCTGTGGCAGGGCATACCCTTAATCCTGCTTATTTTAAAACAATCATCTTTTAATTTTGGTGCTCTTTTACTTTTCCTCACCCTTGAAAGTAAGAATGTGAAATATGTATTGTGTGTCTATTCATATTGCCTCTGAAATATATTTTTGTTTATTTTTAGTACTTTCCCTGTTAAAAAGGGATAGATGTTTCATCTATTTTGTTAATTGCTAAGTCTTTGGTATATGCAACGGTGCCTCACACATAGTAAAGGCTCAGTAATTATTGACTGAAAGAATAAAAAACACCTGATTTAGTAGCTGCTCAAAAACTGTTTACTAGTTTATATTATTGTCATAAGACAGTGAACCCACTTACAAGGTGATTGTATCATATGTGAAGGCCTACCTACATCAGCAATACTTGGATACCACCAGAAGATTCAATTCAATTATACTACTATCTACTCAGATGCTATTGTGTAATAACATCAGATTACACAAATAAAGGGCTTAGTATCCCAAGATACCCTACATTTTATTTTTTTTTTATTTTATTTTATTTTATTTATTTTTTTTTTTTGCTTTTTGGGTCACACCTGGCGATGCACAGGGGTTACTCCTGGCTCTGCAGTCAGGAGTTACTCCTGGCGGTGCTCAGGGGACCATATGGGATGCTGGGAATCGAACCCGGGTCGGCCGCGTGCAAGGCAAATGCCCTACCCGCTGTGCTATCGCTCCAGCCCCGATACCCTACATTTTAGATGTAAGCCACATGCCCAGATTTTAATTCGTGTTTTGATCACTTGGCTAAAGGTCAGAAGGTCTCAGGATGCTCAGGTTTCAGTTTGCTAGAGTGGATCACAGAACTCAGGAAACCTGATTGCTCATCAGATCACTGGTTCTTTACGAAGGATATAAACTCAGAAAAGCCAGGAACAGTTCAATATACGGCTGGATAGTGTGTGTGTGTGTGTGTGTGTGTGTGTGTGTGTGTGTCTGAGTGTGTGCTCCATGTATTGAAATTATTAAGTGTTGATATTTCATTTCCCTCTCTATAACCAAGAAGTTTCAAAGCTGGTACTGGTAGAGCTTTCTGTGCTATTATCTTCACTCATTTATAAATTTTCCATTTTTTTAAATGTGAGATTCATAGTTTATTTCTTGTGCTTGTCATTACAGAATTATATAAATATAATTGAGACATGTTTTATATTTTCTGTTCTGGAATAAGTATAGACTATTACATGGGCACGATCTGTTGAAAGTTGTAGGATCTATGAAATCACATGGGCTATATCTCCTATAGAGGTGATTCTCAGGCAACATTTTTATTTTGAATACATTTAAGTTTCTTCCATTGAACCCAGGTTGGCTGTGTATAAGGCAAGGGTCCTGTCCATTGTACTCTCTGATTCCCCAAACTGTATATATCTTTTTATAGATCTATAAATTTACAGAATTAAGATAGTATGAAGAACTTTATGTTAATATAGTTTTAAACGTTACATTAAATAGATAAATCCTACAAATACACAATTTAGCAGGAATGAGAATTTTAAAAAATTAAAAGAAAATCTGAATAGGCTGATAAGAGTTTAAGTACTTTTTTCCTAAAAAGGCAATGCTGATTTTGTTAGGAAATGTTATAGATAATACTTCAGTATCTGCATTGAGAGTAAAATAATCTCTGTTGATTTAAAAAAATTATCAGAATAGACAATGAATAATCAAAATAAATGAAACGCTGGTTCATTATTTAAAAAGTGTAAAACCTTTAGGAAGTTAAGAATAAACATTTATCAAATCAAGTAGAGGTCAACCATAAGTGGAAAAATATTGAGAAGTTTGTTTCGTCTTTTATTTTTAAAAAATTTATAATTTTTAAAAATTGAACTTTTATGATTTACAATAATGATGGCTTCTCATGTACATCATATCAACACCACACCCATCTCCAGTGTACCCAAACCTCTTGCTCTCAAGAACCCCAGTAGTCCCTAAATTTAGCCCCAAGTCCCTACAGCATACTCAAGTGTGTAGATCAGTTCTCTGGTTGTGTTGTCTTTGGACCTTTGATGTTATCTTGCTATGTATCTTTAAGTCCCATATATGAGAGACAGCATTCTGTCTTGTCTTTCAAAGAAACTCCTTTAATGTTTTTTGCAAAACTGGTTTCAAAGCTATGAACTACCTAAGCTGTTACCTGTCCATGAAGCTTTGTATTATTCCTTCAATTCTGAATGCTGATCTATCTGGATAGAGTATTATTGGTGGCACTCATTTCATTGAATTTCTTTTAGCTATATCTGACCATTCTCTTCTGGCCTATAGAATTTCATT